AAGAGGATGGAAATCGAGATTATACCTTATAAAAGCACCGTAGTTTTTACTTCTCCATAGTCTTTCTCTCACCGCCATGGTGGTCTAGCGGTTAGAACGCTGGCCTTGTGATCCTGGGGTCCCAGGTTCGATTCCTGGCAGTGCCCGAATTTATAACTTGTGTTAGGCAAGACCGTGATCTAGGCAACACAGAGTTTTCCTCCGGGGGCTTCCCCGGTTTCTCCGTGGCATCCCATTCACACACAGAAGAAGGCAATGGCAAACCATTTCTGGATCATCTGCCAAGAACGTATATGAACAGGTCCCAGTCTGAGAAAAGGATGGAAGGATCCTGTTCATAATATGTCACCAACCTCTTGTAAAGAAGACGGCGTAATAAACAATAAGTCTTTCTCTCGCCTTATGGACCTGATCTAATGGAATCTTAATGAATTCCATTCTAGGATTACACATCTACAAGCTATAATTCAGTATGATAATGCAGTCATACTCTGTCTCCAGGAAACCGCTCTCCATCATGTACAGACCTTGAACATCAACGGCTGTACACCTTATTGATATGACCATCTATTTGATGATAGTTCCAAAAACAGGATAGCTATTTTAGTACAATATTGTGTTGATTGTACTTTCCAGACACTTGTGTTCAGATTATACTTTCTGGATGCTAGCATTTCATTCAATATATTGTTTTTTTTTCCTCTCGGGGGTGTTGTATGTGTTGAGATGATTCTATTATATGCTTTAGGAAAAATAGTTTCTTTATTTTATTTAACCATCAGGTGTGGAATGCGCTGATACCTAATCTGTCACTGGGAGTGTTGCTACAGAATCTGAAACGACTTGGACGGCTGTGGTTTCTTAAAGGAAATCAACCCATTGTGGCTAAAATACTGGATGCTTTGAATGACCAGTCAGCTATTGGTGAATCAAACCTGCATCCAGCTCATGTGTTTGTGGCACTTCGCAACTATGAGAGTCTGGGAAGGTATGTTTCACGCGTTTAGTATGTTAAGACAGAAGAACTTAAGTCATTTATATATTGTAAGTACATCACACAGTGAAATCTCATTATGACATATGTCTGTACATTACCAAAGGATTTCAATCCTACTTTGATCCCTAAAGGATAAAATATGCAGCTGTAAAAAAAATCTCATTATGTGCTCTTATTAAAGATAAAGTTGTCCTTCATACTTACTAAGCGCCATGCCACGGAGATGTGGGGTGGTGGAGGTATAGCTCCAGTCTTTCATGGCCTTGGCACTGTATGAAGGTGGGTGATTAGCTTCATGCCCCAGGAAGGGGCTCCGAATATTAATCGGACAGGAGTCTAGATAGGCTCCAGAGCTGGTGCAAATGAAGAAGCTAAGAGAAAACCTTTTTGCTCCTGTCTGAAATTGAACCCTAATCATCCAGCTTGAGTGGCCGAATTATTCTGGCTCTTTATTTCTTTTAATTGTGCTCAGATTTTTAAGGTAACGGATATTGTAAGAGCCAAACAGCTACATTTTGAGGCCTTCTGCAGAAATTGATTTAGGGGTATCATCAGCTCATCAGCAAAATTAAATTACAATAGCATGTCCTCCCTTCATTTACTTCTTTCACTGTTGTACCAAAGATGAACTTGCTACACGCCTTTGGATAACTTGCACAGTTAAAAGGCAACATATTACCAAGTAATGCAAAGTGACAAGTATCTCAAAACATACCATAACAGAACAGAAATAAAAAATATCAGGCATAAACATGTCTTACATAATTTTAATATGAGCCGGGATAGCTCAGTCAGTATAGTGACTAGCTAAGGGCTGGACGACCGGGATTCGATCCCTGACGGGGGCAGAGGATTATTCCTCTGGCCTCTTCGTCCAGACCGGCTCTGGGGCCCACCCGGCCTCCTCTACAATGGGTACCGGGGTCCTTTCCCGGGGGTAAAGCCGGCTGGGGGCGTGATGCTGACCACTCACCCCCATCTAGTGCCGAGGTCAAGAAAGAGAGGAGCTATACCTCCACTCACCCCAAGTGCTTTTACGGCACGTAGAGGGACAAACTTTACTTTACATAATTTTAATGTTTTCCCTGGGGTTCACATCAATTTAAATATGTTGTCTGTGAGAGTATGTTTGTGTTGTGACAGTTAAAAACATACCCATCCGCAAATATCAAAATGACATTTTTTTATTATAGATTAGTGAAAACCCCATTAATAACAGCATAAATTGTTCTTCGTACTTTTTATCAGAATACCACTGTAATATTTAAACTTTTCGGCATCATGGCACAACTGCCGTCACTTCCACTAGGGCTTCTTGACGGGTCATAGTGTACTGCTTGTCATGCAATGTTTTAATTTGCTGCTTGTCTCCTAGACATCACATTGACAAGTGGTAAAAACCCAAAGCTGCTGCTACCTCTGACTGTGTCTGAGAAGTAATAGTGAGGAAGTACCACCAATAGATCGCTGATAGGTTTTCCAATTTTTTTGGTGTTGTGGAAAGATCTTAATTGGCAGGGTCACCACATCACAATATCGGACTCAAAAGGGTAAAAGAAGAAACTAATATTGCTTTGTAACAAATAATGTCTGATTTTGTATTTGAATTTATGTTGTGATGGGAATTAATTAGATGATGTGGGTAATAAAGAAGTTTAGTCCTGCTTGTCAGTTTATGATAATTCTGTCCTTCGTAGCTTTATTATGATTCAGACAGACATAGTTTCATATTATTTTGGGGAGTTTACCCTTTCCGTGGCTTCTTAAGAGTTCTGAAAATAAAATGTGAAGAAGTAGTTGTATTGAAGATTGCTGTCCTCTGGGTTGTTGCACCGTGTAGTCTGGTAGAAGTATACCAATGTTTCAGAGGTCCTTGCTGCCTCCATCATCAGGGCAATGAAGGCAACAAGGACCTCTGAAACATTGGTAAACTTCTACCAGACTACACGGTGCAACAACCCAGAGGACAGCAATCTTAAGACTCACCACCGTGAAAACCTCAAATCCTACAAAGTAGTTGTATTTTTTACAAGTGATTACAATTGTTACATTTAAAGAAAATTTTACTCATTGCAATTGTATTTGTGACAGTTGTCCGTTCTGTCACGTAACATGCCAGCAGCTAATTATTTTATCAATTTCTGTAGAGGTGATTAAAACTAGTTTTATCATGTACCTATGTTGCCTTTTAAGGTACTAAATATGTTATTTGAATGTTATTTATAAGTATAAAGAGAGCATCAAATAATGTTTCGGAATATGTTGACAGGCCAACAGCATTTGTGCCTCGAACATCTCAATCAGACACTAAAACAAAATCAACACCACAGCCACACCCAAAAATCATAGAGGCTTTGAACCAACTGTTAATGTCTACTTTTACGGTAGGTCTGAGAAGTTTTAGCTTTAATTTTCATAAAATTAGTAACAAAAAATGCATTTTTTTTTTGCTTTTTTTATGTGGAAGTGACATGAATACTATTTAATACGGTGAAACCCCTTATTTACTCTTTTCTATGGACTGATAAAAATCCTGTCATTTACAGGAAATGCAAGATGGGCTCTCTTCTGGGTTGTCGCACCATGTAGTGTGGTAGAAATATATCATTGTTTCAGAGGTACTTGCTGCCTCCATCATCAGGGTGCTTATCTCCATCTGCATATGAATTACTTCTTTGCTTCCAAGAAAAGACATATTTTTTGTTTCAAAACTAGACATATGCAAAATTAAAATTCAAATAAACAGAGTGATGTTGGCTTAGGATTTCAGATAATAGCCTGAACATCTCTTTGAGGTGTGGCATATCAATCCTAAAACAAAGACGCATTCATTGTGTTAACATCGTCTATATAATAAATTTCTGTCGATTCAAAAAGAAAAATCTGCTGATGTCTTGTTTTGGAACTAAGCTTTTCACTTCATTTTGTCGTATCTTGAGATTGCACAGTATAATTTGACAAAATATTTCTCACTTGTAGGCTAATATTTATTTTTCCTAGTTTAATGATGGCAAAAATCAAATTTCAAAGTGTTCCACAGCATCATGACATCCAGGCGTTGTGCAAACAGAAAGTTTTTGAGTCACTAGACTAATTAAAACAGTATAATTAACCTTACGTTTTAATGAAATTTCCTGCAGATTCCTTATGTCAGATTGTATTTGTGTTTCAGTTACTAGTACCAACAGGGATGCGTTACTTGGTGGCAATTGATGTGAGGAACCAGATGGTGCATGGCAAGTGTTGGCATTGCCTTACCATTTCACCAGCACAGGCAGCTGTCTTGATGACTCTGTGTCTAGTAAAAGCAGAACGTGATGTGACAGTGGCTGCGTTTGGTGCAGAAGGTTCGATGCAACCAGTGGAACTGGGCAAGAACATCTCAATGCAGGAAACACAAAACAGATTGAAAGAGGTATCAAAGATTATGTGTGTGTCATTTTTTTGTTGCAATCTTCCTTCATGATGTTTCATTATCACTGAATGAAGGAGATCTGAGTCGCATAATTTATTGCTCTGTCATTATTTATGTGCATAAAGAGACACTACAGGTTTCCAAACTCAGCTGTTTCTTTTTAAAACGAACAAGTGAAAATATATGTGTAATCTGACTTCTGTGTTTGGAAATAGGAATGTGGTCACAGTTTGAAAATTAACTTTGTGAATTTTATTTGCATGTAGTTGCTTTTAGTTAAATTCTTGTTCATAATGAAATTTGTTAGCTTTATGTATTTTTTTTTCTATCCTAGTAATACTAATTGTGAATTTATGTTTTTAGTTTTGGAAATGGCTCAACGCTGAAGTAAATACAGTGAAACCTCTATCCATCGTTCCCGGAACTATCGTTTTCCCAGATGCATCGTCCGTTTTGTTCGGTCCCGAATACATCCCATATAAAATAATGTTACATTTTCCCGCTTCTATCGTTCCTCGAACTATCGTTTTATCGCATCGATCCTTAAAAAATCTTAGTCCCAGCACACAATTTTCCGCCCTCATATTTCGTTCCAGCGATGCCAGATGGCATGTGCAGTGTGAATTTCTTCACAAATGCTTTTATTACAAGTACAAAGGAAAGGCTGGCGGCACTTTTCATTCTTCTGGTTCATCTCGTTTCCAGTGGTTCAGGGGCTTCTACAGCTACGTTTCGTTTAGTTCGGCAGTAATAGTATTTCCATTCTTCCTGTTATTGTCCGCAAAGGGGGTTGGAGTGGTGAGGAAGAAGAAGAAGACGACGAATGCAAGCCCGAAGCTTTGCCGAGTTTTGCCGAAGTACACGCTGCATTGGTGAAAGTGAAGTCGTTCTTTTATGCGCTTAATATTAGTGAACGTGACGAGGAAAACATTTTGAACGTGGAAAGTGCTCTGTTTGGTCTAAAACGTAAAGTTTCAACAAACCAGTTGTCCATTAAAGACTTTTTTGGTAAAAAGAAGTAACTTTGAAAGAGAAACATTGTTTTTTTTAAATTTTTAATGCTTTCCCGCATCTATCGTTTTCCCGCATTCATCGTTTTTATTTCCCGCCCCCGCCGAAAACAATGCATCGAGGTTTCACTGTAGTCTATGTTTATAGTAGAGTTTGTCACTTTGCGTAGGATAAAGTAAAGATGTGGTGGGATTAACAGTTTGTGGGTGTGTATCCGACAGTCTTGTTCCTGGCATTAATAGGAGTAAAATGAGGGGTTATGTTGCCACTTCATTTTTTCTTCTGTTTAGATACCAAATGGGCCTGTAGACCTGTCTCAGCCTATCTTGTGGGCCATGAAATTGAAGAAACTAGTGGATGTGTTCATTATCTTGACAGACACTCAGGTGAAGCAAGGCAAATCCAATGCCGTTAATAGTCTGCAACAGTACCGTACTGCTCTCAACCTTCCCAACGCGAAGTAAGTCGCCTTCCTAGTCTAACTTGTTGTCGGTGAAGTTAAGGTTTGAAGATAGTACTGTTGCTGTTGGTCACCACAATGTGCGTGCAGGAAAAATAAATGTTTTTGATTAATACTAAGTTTTGTCTTTTGTTTGGTGTGTCCTTAGATCAACTTCTTTGCAAGTTTTACGATATTGACGTTTGCTGAAGGGGAAGCAAACTTATGCTCTCAGGTCGTTGCATTCTAGGCTGCAATTACAATTTAATGATCTTGATTCAAGGTTCTGTTCAACTTGTTAAATTAACTGTGTTTAAACTGTTTCATAGTTTAGTGTTCAGATACGCTGTTTTAACTCGGAAACTTCTAGAAGACATTGTGTGTCTGTCTCTAATGAATTTTGGACAAACCTTCTGACTTCTCCCTGATACCATTTTCCTTTTAGACCATTCTGTCCTGGTAATGAATACACTCTTGTGTTGGGAGCAACTCTGGGACCAGTCCCTTTTAGACCATTCTGTCCTGGTAATGAGTACACTTTTGTGTTGGGAGCAACTCTTGGGACCAGTCGTGAATACTTTTACATGCGACCTCCTTAATTGACATCACTTGGATTTAGTGTTGTAAATATCCATATGATAAAAGTGTAATATTTCCAATTTACTGTAAATGATAATCTGTTGCAATTAGGCTTTTAAAATTTTATGTTAGAAATGTTGACATATTTACATTTTTTATCAATTTTATTTTTACTTTGAAGTGAAAATTGCTATCATAGTTACCTTTGCATCTAAGTGTTTGAATGAACTGGAAATAAGCCTTGAGGTCAGGATATTGTACATCAGGCCCTGTAACATCTAATATATTATTTCAAATTCAGTATTTGTTGGAGATGCTCATACCTTCACAGTGTGTTATTTTCTGTTGTTCAGGTCTTAAGTACACTGGGCACAAATTACTCTGAACCTGGGCTTTGTCACATTAATAGGGGAGGAGACGGTGGAAAGTGCAAGTGGGAGCAAGACTGCAAAGATTCTGTGTGAAAGCATTTTTTACCCTTATAATTTTGACACATTTTGATACACTTTCACACTAAACTGTATTTTGTGCTCCAAAGGAACTTTAAAACACTAGCAATGCAGGCACACATTTCTTCTGTAGCCTAAATTCGATCGTTCGTATTGATCGTGTTATCTCTCGACATGCGCTAACACTTTGCAGTCTTCCCCTCTCTCCTGTGTGTATATTTGTAACAGTCAGTGAATCTTGTAGTTATTTTGTGTCTGCTGTAACATTGTTTTATTGTTGATTACGCTTGTTCACATTCCCTAGATTGGTGACCTGTGGTTTGGGCATTTCAAAGTTTGCCGTGGCGTGCCCCGATGATCCTGGTATGTTGGATGTGGCAGGCTTTGATGCTGAGGTTCCGCGTGTTGTGGAAGCTTTCTCCAGGGGAGCTTTCTAAACACAAGTTGATATCCAGCTTGGTTGTTGAAAAGAGACTGCAAACATTGTACTGTGCAGTATATTTTTAACCCTTTCGTTACAGCTTCAACCAAAGCAAGTCTTCTCTTCTCTGTTTCATTTCTGAAACAAGAGATGTGAAAGGAGAGACGTGTTTAGTTAAAATGTTAGCGTTGCATTTTGAAAGTACCATATTTTTCCATATTTTAGGTATTAGTCCTAGTGGGACCTTGCCATTTTAATGAATGCTGCATTACTGCGATTCACGATGATCTGAATTCCACGTCTCGTAATATTTGTATGAATTGTGTAAAATTATAAAGAGTTAGCGAAAATGGGTCAGACATCCATGAAGAAGTGAGAATGTACATATGTATAAATATTTGTTCATGAGGCAGAAATCTCTTTGTGTGGTCTGCATAAAATTATAATTTCTGATAATTATCAGAAAGGAAAAAGAATAAAGATATTTTTTTGAATTATAATTTCTGATAATTATCAGAAATGAAAAAGAATAAAGATATTTTTTTTAACCCGTAAGAGTAACACTTTAACACTTCAAGTATATTTATTATTTACTTGACTTTAAAACAAGACAGGTTTTTGAGAAAACTATTTTATTACTTATCCAGATAAAATATATATGAATGAAAAAATTTACTCATCAACATGGACCTCCCATGATTGCTTTGGATGGATGCTGTATTAAACTTTTGCATACCAGTATCTGTTTCAGTTACCTTAATTTTTTATACATTTTTCTTAGGTTATAATAGAAGACTTGGAATGTGTATGTGTACACAATATTGTCAGCTTATAAATGTACAGTACTGGAAGCAGAAGCATTTGAATGTGCAACTTCTCTAATATTCAAGGATTGTGTTGACGTGTTAATAGAAAGTCTGTTCAAGAAATGATAGTATGTCAAACAGAGAATTTTGAAGAACTTTTTATACCATCATTACAACAGCTCCCTACTAAACTCCATGATTTTACTCTTTATCATTCATTTTGACACATGCAGAGTACAAATTCAACATGTAGCCAGGTGATTCTCTTCAAAGACTGTATTTTTCCTTTTAACTACTCTGCTTCTATCTGTGCTGTTTAACCAAACTGGCAAGGTTCCACTTTGTATTATTGCAAGATTTCACAATAAACTTTGTATTTATTGAAGATGGTTGTCTTCATTGTTCTTGTGCTGTCTGCTCTGGTAGTAGTTTACCGACCTTTTGGAGGTGCTCGCTACCTCCATCATTCTCTGATGAATCGCCTCTGAAACATCAGTAAACTTCTGCCATGGTACATGGTTCAACAACCCAGAAGTCAGCCATCTTCATATTTGCCTCTGTAAGAACATGAAATCTCACAACAAACTTCTCTAATAGTTGAACATGAGCTAAACATTATTCTTCAAGACTTCAAAATGGAATGAATGCTGTTTAGGGCTTCTCAGTTTATAAAAACATGAAATAGTTAAGTCAAATTACATATTTATACAATTTTTGTAGTATAATAAGAAAATAATGTATACTTTTTGAGAATTTCTTTTTATGAACACAATTCAGCTGTCAGAAGCGCCAAAATGCCAGGATCCTATTTAAGATGACGAAAGATAAAAATGTGATGTGTCTGTTCTATGCAGATATGTCTTCATATAACTTATTTCTGTCGTAAGAAGCCACTTTCTGGATAGTAAGTGGATTTGCTGAACTCTGTGTGAGAGGAAAATTGTGGTCCTTGATAAAATGTTGTCGTATTCTGTACGATAGAACAGCATTTTCAACCGAGTATTTTGACTGGTAATGATGGCTGTTCGTGATTGAAGCCAGTTCCAACTTAGCTGAAGTGGACCCCACATGTGAGCGTCATCTTTCCTTAGTCTATTTATGTCTTTCATTTTGCTCATTTGATTTCATGTTTATGACTGAAATCATACTGATTTTAGTTTGCTTAGTTGTGACTTAGTATTATTTTAAAGTAGTAACTCAGTTTTATTTAATTATTTCTAAGAAATTGGAACCGTAATTATATTCTATCACTGGCACAGTAATAATGCTTACTGTATATATGGATATATGGCTTACACATATTGTGAATGTAATACATATGATTCTTTCTGCAGTAGAATTATCTACGTCTGTTTAAGTCGTATCTTGCCTATCTTCCAACTAAATAAGGACAGTAATTGGACTTTTTTATGTTCTCGAATGTGTCGTATTATTGTCATTATACAAACGTATAATTTTTTGGTTATTTGGAATGATCTCTGTAGAATGATGAATCTATTTTAATTAACAATTTCTTTAGTTTTGTTTCCTCTCAATTCCAAGTACATTTAAATGTTTATTGCATTTATATTGCACATCCTATGTGTTTTATTTTAAAGGTTAAGTTTTACAAACTTCAAAATTGAAGTGAGGTAAATATATTTTTATTTGTGTAAGAAGAAACTGGCTTGTGGTGGAAATCTGGGGTACTGTTTGTTTATGCATCAGTAAAAATGGTTCCAATGTTCTTAAAGTACCGACAGATTGAAGATTTCTGTCTTCTGGGTTGTTGCGCCGTGTAGTTGGTCGATGTTAACCAACGTTTTAGAGGTCATACTGCCTTCATCATCAGGGTGATGAATATGCCAATAGGGGGTGTGGGGCTAGGTTCATAGGTGCCGGAATGTGAATGGAGTAGCCTGCCCTGAGCTAATGGGAGGAGGCGTGGGAGTGGATCAATGGTAGCTATTCATCGACCTGATGACGGAGGCAGTATGACCTCTGAAACGTTGGTTAGCATCGATCAGACTATACAGCGCAACAACCCAACCGCTGTGAAAACCTCAAATCTTACATACAGACAGATTGATTTGTAACACTTCCTAAAAATAACCTTTTTATTCAGTTGTCTGATTTATTAAGCAAAATTGAGGATCGTGCATTCCAGTAGACACCTGTGAACTTCATATTGATCAGTCTGAAGTAAAGCTCAAAATATGAAGTAATGAAATGGACTTGAAAGATTGTTGTAGCTTATGATGTGAACTAGTAGCGAAAGGGTTAACATTTATTGGAAACTTCTGTGTTATAACAATTTATTTATCAGTGAACTTCAGGAATGGTATTGAGTTCACATGGACATTAAGGTACTCTCGTCAGTTTGTCATTTGAAGAAACCTCTATTTAATGTGTCAGTGGATTGTGTTAGTGAAATTTATAGGAAGTTCAACAGGAAGCCTGAAATTTAACTGCCCAGAAACAGCTTCGAATATGCAAATATCAGCACTTCTGCAGTTCAGCATTATGGTGTCGGACTTAGCACTGCAAGATTTCATTGATCAGAACACGCACCCTGGTGATATAGTACTCTGCCACTTGAAGTCAAAACTTTAATAGAAAAGAAACGTCAGAGTATTGATCAATATTGTTTTTTCTGAAAATAGTTAATACAAATTTGTACAAGTGCATATAACCATACAGTGTTCAGAAGCTTGATACCGAAGATTGAAATCGCACAAGAAAAGTGTCGTGCGCGAATCAACATGGAATGGTTTCTTCATCGTGTAATTTTTTTTTTTTATTTGTCGGTTAATGGTCATAGTAATAGTCTTACAAGAAACTCTGTAGCCTTGTGATAAAACTTGTGTGCTCTCAATTGGGTTCACTACAACACTGTGAAATTTCTAACCCTCTGAATGAATATTTACTGCATCTTATTGATTTTGACTACCGGTTCAGTGAAGATTCTCAGTTTCCGTCCAGGACCACGTCTCTGCGAGTTTTTGTAAGGCTATTCAAAACACGCAGTTATATTTTGGCATGCCCTCCTGCAGCTGGAAGGCATGTTAAGGTGCTCCCATCTGTTAAGCATTTATTGGGGGATAGACTATGGGTAATTGCTGTATGTACAGACATTCTAATATGAATTATAAAATATAGGAAGAGTATGTACCATTTAATTGCCACTACTGTATATTACTGCACTGAGACAAGAATTGTATTTAAAGTGGTTGTGCATCATGTTTCAATTTTATATACTGGGAACGACCCGTTCCCCAAGTGCCTGAGCACTGCGGGTCCCAACTTTTTCGTTGGCTTGATCTATAGACATTCGGTAGGACTCCTTGGACGAGGGATCGACCCGCCGCAAGGCCTCTACCTGTACACAGGACAGCACAACACAGAAAAACGTGGAGAAACATCCATGGCTTGAGTGGGATTCGAACTCACGGTCCCAGTGACCAAGCGACACAAGGCCCACGCCTCAGACCGCGCGGCCACTACAGACCCCTCAATTTTATATAGCTCCTCCATATTCAGTTTGGAAACCAGGATGCGGTTATACTTTCTTAGTCTTCCCTGTACAAATAGAAAATACAATACTCGTAGCTGTTTGAAAACCATAAACTTAATTTAAAGCTAAATTGATGACGACGGTACAGCTAGAATGCAGAATGAATTAAAAGTCGCTGCTTTACAGTTTTGATGGCACGACCCTGTGTTTTTATACAGTTGGTATTAAATGCCATATTGAAATTTGTAATTTACTGAATTGCTGATGCGAAGATGACCCTTCACTGGAAAATTGATGGAAAAATAATTTTATGTTGTGTCAAGATAAATTTATTTGGTATATTTGTCTTGTGCAGTCTCTCTTCTTTTGTCTGTCTTTATACGGAATGCTTTTCAAGCCCCCAATGTCACACATTTATCCCATAAGCACGGTATGTTCGGGATGGCACAGTTTTTGGTCTCTCGTGGTATATCAGTTAATGGGAATCAAAGGTATTTTGCTTCCATGTGTAAACCCATGAAACAAATAATGTTAAGTTAAATTTACATAAAACTGATGGGGAAACCTGTTTTGAAAAATTTATACTTTGAAGATGAAAAGGCGAGGGGAGAATAACAGTGATATGAATCTTGGATGATGGGTTGTGTAGTTGGAATTTGGATGAAACTGGTTTGGTGTCGCTAGTGTCGAACCTTCATGTTCTGCTGTCGTAACGTTTAACATTTGAACTATGTTTCTTGTATTTTAAATCATTTCTTAATGATCACCATGATGGAAAATTTTGCATTTACAATTCAAGTTGATGTTTCTTCTTCAGACGTTAATCTCTTTATGCGTGCGGATAATGTACTTCAAAAACACAGCTGTGGCTTAAAATATAAGCTGGGTGAATTGTTATCAGGTTTGGTTGTAATGAGAATGAAAGTCTAGTAGCTTTTGAAATATTTTTATATTTTCCCAGAAATGGTCGATTGCTTTTTTTCTGCTGCTTCCAGCGGAAACTTCGCTTCGCTTGTGATTACGTTCTTGACTTGGTGACGTGTATACAACAGAATATAAAACAGTGCCACATGTTAAAAAAAAGCCATAGTTTAAGGATATTCAGGGATATAAGAACACATTTTTTTAAAGTTATTTGACTGATTCTCCAGCCACGGAGGATATAGATTGTGTAATCAGAACTAGCTTTTCAACTCTTACGAGGACATGGTGTAACTTTGCGGCATATCTGGAAATTTCCTTTCTGTTACTGATGGCTTTTGGTAGCTAGGAATGAAGTTTATGGATGTGTTTGGCAAACTTCCATGTATCACATTTGCACAACCGCTCAGTGCCTTTAATATTTCACAATATTTCAGTGATTTTGTAGCCATTTGGCCTTCGTTGTCAGGTTTGTGTGATCGAGACCCACCTCAACCTTTAGCAGCAAAAGAATTCCATTGGAAATTAAATATTTTAGTATCTTAATGAATTCAAACATAATATCACTGACAAATTCAGGTTATTAGAGTAGAAAGGAATTTGCGTGTTTCTGTTATAACTACAGCCGAGACTGATTAACTGTATTCGTAGTGCCAGTGAATGTTTGTCACAGAATTTGCAACAGTTTTAAAATGTGTGAACATTACAAAATAATAAATTCTAGAGATGGTTAAGTCACGTCAGAATATGGTTCGTTCATGTGTTATTGTGACGGTTGCATCGAATAGTAGAAGTTTAAAAAAAATGCAAATAATATATGCCATGGAAGTGTTGTGGTGCTAATAATTATCATCGTCTTTATCAGAATTCTATATTTAATAATAAATATAGAAAAACAGATACAGTGGATGTTCAGGTTGTACTGACGGTCTGTATCTCTTGTTCAGGATACTGTTCATCTGAAACGATAGTAGCTTCAGTCCGGTATGAATTTTAAGTGTGGTTTCCACTTTCACCCAGCTGTAATTCTTCAGTAAAGTATGATCTTCATGACTGAGGTTTGATCCCTGGCAAGTGCGTTGTAGTTATTTTTGTTACGACATTTTGAATCGCTCTGGGTGTTG